AAACTACCTGCTTGCCAGCCAGGTCACTCTCCCACCCAAGAGAGCTCGGGGTTGAGAGCCAGACGGCTGCAGAACCAAGGGTTGGATGATTCCCCTCCTTTCTCTGGAGTCCAACTTCTAAATCCTTGCCATCTGGTTGTAGGTGACATTGGTGAGCTAGACAATGAGAGACATCAGAGCTCTTTGGCCCATGTTGAGGCCTGGGGTTGAAGGTGGTGTTGGTATCATCAAGCCTTCTTCAGTTATGGCAAAGGGACACTCTAGCATCACCTTCTCTTTCAGATCCCCCACCCAGCCATAACCAGACCATATGAGCCAGCTGGTCATAAGTCTCCACCACATACCTCTGAGAGCCCAACCAGAGTCCAGTCATGGGAGACCAGGGTCAGAGGAGAGAAGGGGCACAGCATATGGGTGTCCTGTTAGTATTACATCAGGATAGAACAGAGGACTTTCTCACTCTACCCGCGCATGCTACTGCACCCCAGTTAACTGTGGCGGGACCCTGGAGAATGGCGTTCTGCTACCTCCCAGTGACAGGTCAGTAAGGCCTATGGGAGGGAAGAAGGAGCAGGAAGATGCAGCCGTGGTCATCTCAGGGCTGCCCAAATGGTGCTATAGAGGGCAGGGAGGAACTGCAGAGGCAGGAAACAGGCAAGAGTTGATTTTCCATCTTTTTCTTGTGTCCTTTGTTTGCTACATTGAACTTGGTATTGTACAACATCATGGCCACTGGCCAAGAGCAGACTGGGTCCAGAGTCTCCCATGAGTATTTTCTGAGCTCCAAGTTGTCTGAAGCATGGAGTTATATCACCAAAGGAAAACTAACCATTAAATGGTTCAGTGCATGCCTTCATTCGTTGATTGGTCCCAGAAAATTCTTACATATTAATCTTTAAAACATTGCCTCTGCTCCATTTCTTCTCTCCTCTCCTTCAGGGACAATATGAACATATGTCAGACCTTCTCTTCCTCTTTATCTCACATCATCTCTTCTATATTTTCTTTTTGTCTCTATGTTCCACATTGTGATAATTTCTTCTGACTTCTTTTCCGATTTCCTAATTTTTTTCTCAGCTGTGTTTACTCTGTAGTTAAACTTGTCCACTGAGCTCTTAATTTTGGTTATTATAGTTTTTATTTCTAGAGATTCAACTCAATCCTTTTTTCAGGTCTACAATGTCACATTTTGTAGACTCCCATTCCTTACAGTTATCTTTAAGCATGTCTTATTTCTTTAAAGATCTTGTGCAAAACTCTTTTATGGTCAACAATTTTAATTCTCAAGGGTCTATTTCTGTTTCCTGTTGATTCTCCTAGTTTCCACTTCTTGTGTGTCTGACCATCTTTTAGAAAAATTATTTGAAAGAAAAATTTTAGACTTAAGACAAAAGTACCTTTCACTAGGGAGCATTTTTATTTGCTCCTGCCAGACAATAGAGGAATACTGCTAATCCAGGATCACCTTAATAACCTGAAGACTTGAGGTTCCATAGCCCAACCAGGAGATGAAAACTTAGACTGCAAGATCATGTGAGAGCTGGTCTACTTCTGGTTCACACTTATCTGAGGGAGTAGTTCTTTGGAGTTCCACACCAATGTGGGGTGATGTCTTATGGCCTTACCTGTGTGAGCTCTGGGATTTGACTTCTATCTCATTCCATGAGGGTATCAAAACAAAATTAAAATTTTGGGGCATCAGAAATGCCTCAGTTAAAACGTGGCTTCTATTCTTGCTTACCTGTCTGGATTTTTCTCCCCTCAATTTTGGCCTGCCAATTCCCTTTTATACTGCCAACTCATTAGTGCTTTTAATATATGCCAATGTATATATTAGAGGCCCAATGCATGAAAATTCATACACTTGGGGACAGGGGGGTCCCTCAGCCCGGCCTGCACTCTCTAACAGTCCAGGACCCCTTGGAGGATATCCAACTCCCACGGAGAGCAAGCCTAAGCCAGCAATTGGACATCCTTCTCACAGTCCAGGAGTCCTCTCTCCTTAATGCCTGCCTGCTCGCTGCTCCTTACTGCTCAGTTCACTGCTCCTTAGTGCTGCCTTGGAGGCAGGAGAGGCTCCCGTGAGCCTGGCTTCTGGCTGAGCAGTGCTCCACCTCTGGGAGCACATTGATCACCACATTGAGCATCTGCCCCTGGTGGTCAGTTCACATCATAGTGACCTGTTGTTCCGCCCTTCTGTCAATTTGCATATTAGGCTTTTATTATATAGGATATTTTTAAATTTTTTAAATTTATTCAGCATTTTTAGTTGTTTTCAGTGCAAGGATGGGCCTACTATTGCTGAAAGTTATCTCTTCAGTCACTCAGCAAGTACTTGTGGAGTACCTACTATGTACAAGGCACTGTGCTGGGGCAGAGCAGCAAACCAGACAGACAGAGCAGGCTCTTGTGGTGATCGCCATCTCTAGGGAGACAGACAATAAACAGAGTTACTCAATTGATTAGTTAATTACACTTGTGATACAGATTATGAAGTAGGAAATCCAGGGTGATGAGAAGGAGCCTTCGCCCACTTTGTGGGCTCAGGGGAGTTGTTCTCAAGGGTGTGGTTTTTAAAGCTGAGATCTGAAGACTTGGTGGGTTGAATCAAGAGAATCCAGGCAGCGTTTATAAAACTCAGCATATACAAAACTCAGCAGTGGGAAGACGCATGACATTCTAGGTACTGAAAAGTGTCCAGTGTGGCCACAGTGAGGAGCAGGGCAGGGGGTGGAGGACAAGAGGTGTGTGTGGCTGGAGATCAGCTAAGTCACACTGTCACACTCGCACAAGCAGGGTTCACACTTTGGTCAACATGCCAAGATCAACAGGAGCCGGGGAGAGCACTGAAGAGTGGAGGATGCATCATGGTGGTCAACACCTTGGGGCACAGAAGTGACAGATTCAAGAGAGATTTAGGGGATAAGAAAAGGGTTTCTACCAAGCTTGGCCATAGAATTGTCCCTGATCACGTTGGTTGTTCTTTGTTTGCATTCAGATCCAGTCCACTCCTGCTCCCTGCCCTGGGAGCTGGACCTGTGTGGGCCATACTGACGGCCTCCCATGCCTCTGGCTTCCTGGTGGGTTTGGTAACGGTAGGCACTCACAGGAGATCAGAGGGATGAGGAAGACAGAGGCTGGGTGTTTCTTCTCTGCTCTCTGCCTGCTTCAGTGTCCCCAAGACTGCATGTCTCAGAGACTGCATGTCTCAGAGACTGCATGTCCCGGAGACTGCATGCCCCGGAGACTGCACCCACTGTCAGGTGGCCTGTCCTGTTCCCTCCTGGGGTCTGGTTCTCACTGGGCTCTGGCAGCACCAATGCCTCACCTTGCCCCTGAAGCCCTACAGTGGTGACAATTACGGCTGTCAGGGCCTCAACATCCCTTCTTGATTCCCTCAACCCTGGTCACACCCCATAAACAGTCCCTTTGTTAACATCCCTTTACTGGAACCATTAGGGCTGAGTTTGGTTTTCTGCCAAGACCCTGAGTGATCACTAATACTCAGGTTTTTTACTTTAAAGAATCTGGAGAAGCAAATCTGCCTGGGAATCCTGGAGGGGGGCCAGCCCTTCGTGGCAGCCAAAGGGGTGGGTCGGAGCCCACATGAAGGCCTGCTGCCGGCTGCATTCTGTAAACAAACGCCCGCGTGCGTGCTCGGCGCACAGAGCCGGATGACAGCCACGGCTGTGACAATTTCATAGAGCCCCAGTATCAGAGAGGACGGGGGAATTAGGAAAACGGTAAACATATCTGGTGTCTTGTGTCTGGCTGCACAATCTGTGCCAGTGTGTGCTGGGGGTGTCACCCTGGGGAGCTACTTTCCAATCTACGTTCCCATTCAGGTTCCAGATACTTCCTAAAAGAGGCCTCCCAGTGACTGAGGTCAAAGTGATTTCTGGGGTGGACTCAGTGGGCCTAGTGTTTTTCATGGGAAAAATCCCAACTTGCCTGCCGCCCAGCCTGTTTCCTCCCTCTCCTCTGCCTTTCGCTTCCCCACCTCCCTCATGAACTGAAGTTTGCCTCCCTTCACTTTCATTTTGGACATGAGAGCTGGGAACACAAGCATCTACTGAGAGGTGACAGATGCTTGAGAACTGTGTTCCCAAAACTTTGGGCTCACTCCCCACCTGCCCCCATGCTGGGGGCTCAGGCACAGAGCCAGGTGCAAGGAGTGAGGATAAGGAAACTGGACCTGATGGCAGAGGTTGCCTGGGTGGGGCGGGTGGTCAGGGAAGGCCCCTGAGGAGGCAGCGTTCAGTGGAAACCAAAGCGACAAGAAAGATCCAGGCACCCAAATGATGTCTCCAGGTGAAAAAACAGGGAGAGCAAAGTTCCAGTGAAAGGCCAGTGTGGCCTGATGAGGGGAGGCTCAGAAAGAGGCGAGAGAAGGGGCTGAGTCCAGCTCTCTGCAGGCCCTGGGTCGGGAGCCATGCATCCCGGCTTGCTGCGGACAGTCCTGGCTTACCCCCACTGTTCCAAAGGAATTTTTTTTTGCATCCCTGCTTATTCAATAAATGACACAGTCACTCTGCCTGCAAGGCAGAGGAAGAAATGTCAATTTTACATCTTTTAACTGAGTTGGGATACTATCAAAGGATTTTTTTTATTGATTTCAGAAAGAGGAAGGGAGAGGGAGAGATAGAAACATCAACGATGACAGAGAATCATTGACTGGCTGCCTCCTGCACGACCCCACTGGGGACCGAGCTGAAAACCCAGGCATGTGCTTGTGCCCTGACAGGGAAGAGAACTGTGACCTCCTGGTTCATGGGTCGACACTCAACCACTGAGCCATACTGGCCGGGCGATCATCAGAGGATTTTGAGCAGGGGAGTCACACACCAAGTCTTTCCCTTCATTCACCGAATGTTTACTGAGTGCCAAGCGCTCCCCATGTCCGGACACAGCAATAAGCTAGCCCCCATGGAGCCTACATTCTAGTGGTAGAAATGCCAACAAACATCTAACAAAACTGATAATTTCTCCACCACTTTCAGTGCCCTCAGCAAGCAGAAGTGCCCATTGGACAGAAAGAAAGATGAAGGTAAAGAACATCCTGCTGGTTTTCTTTATAAATTTAATAATTTGAACATCATAAGCTACTTCCCATGAAGGGGGCTCCCAAACTGGCCCTGGAGGGTGGCCTCTGTGGAGAGTCTCCTGCAGTGCGGTCGCCCTGCCTCTCCTGTTGCCCACAGGCCTGGGCTTCTGTGGCTGGTGACCCTAACTGCGTGCTGGCTGCTCTGGCTGGGCCCTCCCTCCAGGCTGGTCCTTAGCTCTAGGTGACTGGCTTACAAATTCTTGCAGAATCCTATTTTGAAAAGCCTAAACCAAAAAGAGCATATCACACTGGCTCGGCTCCCCAAAACACCTGCCCTGTGTTGGTGACTCACACATAGAGCCAAGTGCAATAGAGAAAACAAGTGCACAGCGGGATGTGTCTTCAGGCACGGCTGCATCCAGCAGCCAGCCTATGTTGTCAGGAGTCCTCTCTCACTGCATCTCATGGTTTTGCCTGCTTTGTGCTGGCTGCAGTTTCCTGTTAGGCGTTCCCAGTAACCCAAAGCCTCTAAACAGATACCCAGCAACCCAGAATAGAGCTTCAGCTTTTGAAGAGTTTCATCAAAAATCCTGGAGTTGGATTCTGCTGGACCACAGGCTCATCACTGAGCCAGCCACTGTCCAGGAGGACAGAGGATACTAACTGACCTTGTCCCTATCCCCCTCCCCCCATATGCACAAATGCTTTGGGGGATGGGGAGGGAGTCAGCCCCATTCACACTGCATGGAATGAGAGTGGGGGAGGGGAGGTACTTCAAGGAGAATCCAGGTGTTGTGACTGGATTGAGAGGAAATGATTCTGAGGCAGCAAAACAAGGGGGAACCCTGTCCCTGCCCTTTGTCCCAGGAAGAACTGAAGCTCACAGAGAGGGAGGAGGACTCAGGGTAAATCCTTTGTCATTGCCTCCAGGGACAAAGGGGTCCATGACCACAGCAGAGGAAGAGCTTCTGGAGTCAGTGAATGTAATTCTGGCCCCACATTCATTCCTGACTTCTGCCCCTGAAGCTCCCAGCAGCCTCTCCCCACGGGCACTAGCCTCTCCATGGGGTCTGTGACTCTAGCCCATGGAGATGGGGTGGCAGGGGAGACACACAGCAATGGGCAGACTTCAGAAGCGCTGGGCAGAGCCCCTGCATGGAGGGAGAGGAAGGGTTAGTGGCCTCTTGTCTCCTGAGGCCTCAAAGCCACCAGGTCCTGTCCCTGTGAACCCCTGGAGCTCCTTGATTTCAGCCCTTCAGAGGCCTCCAGCCACTGGGATGGGGTTGTGCTTCCTGTTCCCTGGGACCAGAGCCTGGAGAAGCTGCTGGGGGCGAAGGGCGGCGGGGTGGCGGGAGGGTGCTGGCTAGAGGAGGTGACGAGAGGACTCCTGCCATCTGGCCTTGGAAGGGCCTCCAAAGGAAAGGTTGCCCCTTGTGCCCCTCACTCATCTACACTCAAGGACACTGCTGGACAGTGAGGAAGGAAACCCCTTCACTGAACATGCAGATGCTTTCTTAAGCTGCTCTGAGGGTGGGGGGTGGGGATGGTCCCCCCACCAGCCTGTCCATCAGATTAGGGGTAGGAAGTTCCCTGAGGCCGCTGGATTTTACCCAGGTTTGCAGACTGTAGATGGTGACGCTGGGACCCACCATGAGGCCACCCCTTCATAGCCTCAGTCTTGCCTCAAAGAATGGGAGGTGAGGTCGCGAAGGAAGAGGGGAGAGGCCTGGGAGGTGAGAAGCGAGGCCTAGGGAGGCGCAGTAGCCCTCCTCTCCCCTGGGGGGGGGGGGGGCCAGAGCCCGGGGCAGGGATGTGGGCGATGCCAGGGCCCGGGCTGGCGAGCAGGGAGCCCGCCAGGGACCACGGGGAGGCTTCCTCTCCGTGTCTTCATGCCACAAGATGTAAAATAATCCCCTCGGCTCAGAAAAACACATTTTATGGCTGTCTGACTCATTTCCCACAGAGCGAGGTTCACCCACCCTCCACCCCCAACGTGTAGAGCTTTTGTTTTGAAAAATAAAAAATATGTTGAAAATTTCAAGATGACTTTTAGACATAAATAGTTCCCTTCCTCACCCTCGTCCCAGGCCCCCCTCACCTAATTTCCCAAACACTGGCTGCCAGAGCCTTGGGCGGACCCAGTCCAAGTGGGTGTGGGATGACTCTGGGTGACAGAGCCCCCAGGGCCGGGCCAGGGGGCGCCTGCTGGGCATTGAGAGGGAGGGAGGTGGGCCTCCCTGGCATCTGCTATGGGACCCCTGATCCTTCTGACCTGGGCTTCCACTTGGGCCCCGACAGCACCACCCCTCGCTCCTGGCCTCACAGTCCTCCAGGCCCGGGTCCCTGTCACAGCTTCTGGGACGCAGGTAATGTTCTGCTGGTTGCTCTGCACCCTGGCACTCTGTCAAGAGGAGCTCCATGGGGTGACCTCGGATACCTAGGGGGGGATGTGACTCTAGCTCTTGAACCCCACAATTGAAGCATAGGGATCTGATATGGGCTCCTACCCCCCAAATACTCCACACACACCTGGGGGCTTGGCCTCCTGTCTCCCTCTGACCCTGCCATTCCTTTAATTTCCCAACAATCCTGGCCTATGAGCATCCGCATTCCCATTCCTCAGGCAGGACAGGAAGCTCCAGCAGAGCATGGCCACGGAGAAGCTGAGGGCAGACAGCTGGGCAGCCTCACGGCTCCTGCTGGTTCCGGGTGCCGGGAAGAGTACCCGGGTCGGAAGCCCAGGGTTCGGGGGTGTGGGGGGCATCCAAGAGATCCCTGGTTTCCGACACATGGCACAGGCACACCTGGAGTCTCCACAGCCCACAGGGCCAGCCCCCTCCCTGCCAGGCACTGTTGCAGCCTGCATGCAAGGCTGTCCACATGGGTGACCGACGGTGTCCCTCCATCTTCCCAGAGAACGGCGGCTGGGAGCTTCCTAAGGGTCTCCACAGCCGCGGCCCGATGAGAGCACCAACCAGAAGCAGCTCGCATCACATGGGGCGCGGAGGCTGAGCAGGAACCCGCCGTTCTTGGGTCAGGCATCTCACGACAGGCTCGGCTCCTCAGTGGGTCGGAGTCCCCATCGCCAGCTGCAGCGAGCCCGACGGGGCCCAAGACAGTGGGCCTATGGGTGCCCGGAGCCCAGCAGCCCTGGAACTGCCCGGGCCATGGGCCTGTCCACTTCACTGTTGCCCACAGTGGAGAAGTGGACACCTCCCTGCCATGTGCCCCTGGTTCCCGGGTCCCCAGGGCTCTGGACTCCCACCTGGGAGCAGGAAGCAGCTCCTGGAAGCTGGAGGTGGGGGGGGGGGTACCTTACTGCCAGGGCTCTGCTGGGAGGAGCCCGGGGTTAGCTGGAGGCGGCATGAGGGGAGTATAGATTGGGGTCCCCAGACTTCCTGGGCCATGGGCATCAGGGGAAGTGCCTGAGGTGACCTGACTTCCTTAACCACAAGAAAATGACTCAGCTAAATTGAGGAAGATTTCCGTTCCAGCCGACTACTTTTTCCACTATGGTAAGAGCTTTTTACCCACAGGCTCCAGAGGAGCTGGGTACCCCACGGAGCGTTTGGGGACTTTCGATTTGAATAGTCAATGCTGATTCTTAATCATTATTTTGAAAAGGCAGCTCTTGGCTTTCCAGCAGGTGGCTGGGTCCCCGGGAGCGAAGCCAGGTGTGTGAGTGTGTGTGTTTGTGCACATGCACCAGTGCACACTTGTGCCTTGAGGACACTGGGGCCCAGGAAGGGGGAGATTTTGTCGGGACCTTTCCCTTTGCGCCGGGGCAGGCCTTGCCCAGGTCTGCAGAAATGACCTGGATTCTCCAGCCCTGAGCCTGGTGGCGTGAACAGGGCGAAAGCTACATTGACTGAGGGCTGAGTGTGTGCCAGGCAGCAGGCTGGGCGCTTACATTACCTCACAACCCTGGAGGTGGGTCCCCCTCCAGATATCAGCTGAGACTCCAAGAGGGAAAAGCACCCATCAGACACTCAGCTAGGTGTAAACCCGGGCAACCAGACACCCACTGTAGCCACTGAGCGCTGTCCCACCTGATCTTTCCCCAGCTCCTGGCATCTCCTGACGCTGCCCAGGCTTGTCTCCCATAGCAACTGGCAGCCCTGGACCCAGTGAGGGCTAACAGCTTCTTTCTAGGGATTGTGTTCAAACACCAGGCCATCAGTGATCAGAATTTGGGGCCTTGCCCTGGATTCTGGTCAGTAATGTCGGGGAATATCCAGTGCAGCCCTGGCTCCCACTGTCTAGCACAGCCCCGAGGCCCAGGCAGGCTGGGTGACGATGGCATCTTCCAAGAGTGGGGTCCCAACCCTGTTGCTGCAACTTGCAACCTAATGAGTGTGATGGGACAAGTCCTAGTCTGGGTGCTTGATGAGGATGAAGGCCACTGCTTTGAGCTCCTCCCAATGCTAGTCCAGCCCAGGCAGGCTTCCTGGAGGCGGCACCAGCAGGCTCTGGCCTGGATGACAGCAGTGGGTAGTATAACAAAAGCCCCAGGACAGTGACTGCCCAGACTGGAAGGCTCTCCTCCCCGCGCCCCAGTGGGGGCCCTGTGTCTGCTCCCAGCCTGGCAAGGTCCACAGCTGTGAAAGGGTCCTTGCTTTCTACTCCCCTTCCCGGGCCGGCTCTTCCCTGAGGCCCCACTGAGGGGGATGACAGGGTGCAGGGTCCTTCTTCCCACTTCATTGCTGATTGGGCCTCAGTTCTGCTCGGAGCACCTCCATAGGGCCCCTCAGAGCAGACTCCTGCTCTGAACGGGGGGCAGGTTCCCAACCTGGAGGTGGAGAGGAGGCGCAGCCGCCCAGTGGAGGAGCTTTGCCCAGGTCTCCAGGGATTTTAAGGGACAGAGTTGGGCCTGGCTGTGTGGCTCTGAAGCCAGGGAGAGGGCCCTGCCTGGGGCCAGGACACGTGTCCGGCTCTGTGGCCTCCCCACAGCCCAGCTGGTTGGCTGACGGGGAGGAGCAGGGGCTGCAGAGACCGGGGGAGGAGGCGAGGTCAGCGGCCCCTCTAGGGTGCTGGCAGTTCCAGGGCAAAGGGCAAGATGGCTTTGGCCAGAGAGAGGAAGCAAGGCAGGGAGCAGTGTAAAGATGAGCATTGTACTGAGCGACTGAGCAAGCGAGGGCCCTGAGCCTGAGCTCTGGGCTTGGCCCCTTTCCTGGGGGCTCCTCAGGAGACAGAAAATGAGGGTGATAGAGAGAGGGGGGCGCCAGGAGCCAGAAATGGCGAAGGGGCTGGAACAGGCCAAGGCCAAGGCAGGTGAAGGAAAAGGAACAGAGGAGACAGATCAGAGTGAGGCTTGGGGAAGACGCCGTCCAGCGGGCCCCACTGCTGGCAAACAGGCTTTCTCAGGCCTCAGCCCAGGGGTCAGGCAGGGGCCTTGGGGGTGGGGCCCCCTATTTATTGCCCCTGCTCACTGCCCACACACAGGCCCCCACCTTCCCCACCCCAGGGCTCACATAGCTGCCTGGCTGTGACTGTGTCATCATGTACCGTGTCTACCATGTGTATGTATGTGTACACATGTGTGTTGTGTCAACCATGTGTCTGAGGCCCTCTGTCTCCAGGACTCTCGCCTGCCCAGAGTCATAGTGGCAGCCTGGGCACCAGGGTAAGGCCTCTCGCTGAGCCCAGCCCCGTGAGGCCCCGAGGCCACCCTCCTTGGGGGTCCTGGGGAGACCTACTGCTTCTGCAGAAGCCCAGCTGTCCCTTCACCGTGAGGCAGAAGAGGCAGCCTCACCCTGCTGGTCCTTGGGCTCCCAGGAGCCCCATAGTCCCCAGTGGAGGAGGCCGACTGACCAGAGGCCTCTGACCCACTCCCGGGCAGAGCCAGCTCCAGGCCTCTGAGTGGACAAGGACTCAAAGGGCTCACAGACTGGGCCACAGAATGTTCAATGCATGCAAAGCTCATCTCTGTGTGTGTGTGTGTGTGTGTGTGTGTGTGGTGTGTGTGGGGTGTGTGTGGGGTGTGTGTGTGTGTGTGGTGTGTGTGTGTGTCTGTGTGGTGTGTGCGTGGTGTGTGTGTGGTGTGTCGTGTGTCTGTGTGTGTGTGTCTGTGTGTGGTGTGTGTGTGTGGTGTGTGTGCTGTGTGTGTCTGTGTATGTGTGTGTGTGGTGTGTGTGTGTGTGTGTCGCGCGCTCCTGTCAGTGAGCTCCAGCCCGTCAGTCTCACCCATTTGCCCACCAGCCCCTCATCCAGAACCCTCAGTGGCTCCCAAGGGGTCAGGCACCACGTTCTCTGCCTGTCACTACCTGGCTGGCCCAGCCTTCCCTGGGCCCCTCCCTGCAGCCAGGCTTCACTGGCCCTGTTCTTCTTTCACATTTTCTGTGCAGGTGCTTAGCAGTGTGTATGCCTGTGACCGTGTGCACTGGGGCACCTTCTCAGCATGGTTAGCTGTGAGACTGTGAGTCAAGGAAGAAGCCCAGTTCACCCTGGTTTAGGCAGAAAAGGAACTTATCAACTCTTGTGATGGAAGAGCCCAGGGCAGAGCCAGCTTCAGGCGCGGCTGGACCTCAGCTGTGAAAATCCACGTCCCTCTCTGAGCTCTGCTCCCCTTTGGGCTCTACCACCTTCCCCAGGCTCCCAGCAGCATAGCCTCTAGGCTTCCATTCCCCTGCTTTGCCACCGAAGGAAAGAAAACAAATTTTCCCAGTGTTTGCAGCAAACGTCTCAGAGTTGACACCAGGCCCAGGGCACATGACCCGCTCTGGAGCCCTGGGCTGGGGCAGCCCTGCCCAAACCATGTGGCCTGAGAAGGGAAAGGGCTGGTTCCCCAAGGAACATCAGGCCTGCCCTGCAGGAAGGAAGGTGGATGCTGGGCAGCCAGGAACACGGGAGCCCACCCGGGTGACTGTCCTTCAGTGATCACAGGGCGGTGGGATGTGTGCAGCTCTCATCCTCGGTCTCACTCCAAGCTGGAATGGGGTCTGGAATCCTGGCGCTGGCAAGGCCAGGAACTTCCACACAGTTTCTTATTGTACAGACGGGGCAACTGAGGCCCAGAGAGTCACACAGCCTGTTAGGATA